CAAACGTAGAATTCATATTAAGGCTGGACAAATGTTTAAGGTGACTTGGCTCTTACGAGGCTTTCGAATACTTTCAGGAACTTGAGCTCGGCCAACAATTATCATTTAAGGATTGCTGATAATAATTTGGCCGTTCCGTGGTCCAAGACTGAATTTTTAAAGGAGAGTTTTAGCTATAATGGTGCTAAGATCTGAAATTTCTCACCGAATGAAATACGTAGTTATGAAACTTTGGCTACGTTTGATGAGCTTATTTCGATCTATAGACCAAATGTGATATATCAATTTATTTCTTAGGGTTATATTTAATGCGTTAACAGCTTAAGTCATGGACATAAGTGTATACATATATACATACATATATATACGCTTATATATGTATGTTGCGATATTGGGAAAAAAAAAACAGAGAGACTATGCCTTAATCCCTACAAGCCTGTTTCGTGATTACTTACCTATCGGGGGATTTTATTGTTAAGAATATTCTTACCATCGTTTCTATACTTTATAAATTTGCATAACTATACTTCAATTGTTACGCAGTGACGTTTTGTTTCTGTGGCGGCATGACGACACGAGTTCATTAAGTTTATTGAGTGATGATCGATAATTCGGGTCAGCGAATGATGAGTAATTTTTCTTTTTTTTTTCCCTGTCGCAACATATATCGCGCTTTTATTCCTACGCATCGAGCACTGTAAAACGGAAAAATTAATTACAACAAAAAATCAAAGACTTTTTATATATATATATATAATTTTTTTTTTCATATATATATATATATATATATATATATATATATTTTAAGTAGTTTTTAACTATTATACTTAGTTCACGCCCCTACTAGAAACCAGCTTTTTATAATGCTGATGATAGGCTAACACGTTAAAAAAAGTTGATCTATATATCTAAAATTTCCTATTTAGTGTTTTTAGAATCTGATGATGAATATCTAAATAAAATAGCGTGACCGAAACAGCTGAGGTTATGAAAGCAGTGATCGGGGTAAATAGCTCTGTTTGAAAAGAAAAAAATAAAACAAAACAAAACAAAACAAAAGGTGATTCCATTCTCAAGGTTATGGGAATGTCACCATTTTGATTGAACGATCAATTTAAGTAGGTTGAAAAAATTGAAATGGGGAGGGTGAAGGGGGGATGGGGTCGGAGGCTTCTTTGAAGGCGGCGAATTTTCAACAGCTGAGCTGAAAAGTTCTTTTAAGAAACTAGAGAAAGTTTTTTAAAAACTTTCTGTGGACCTTGTTCCATCTCAATCCACCACCTCTTTATTTTTCCTCCGCCATAGTTAATTACAATAAAAGTGGACTGCTTTGAGGCTTTGCTGACCAAGAGAAATTGAAAATGATTGTTTTAAAAGAAACTGGGGAAAAATTAGTTGCTCAAGGAACTATGGGCTATCTAGTACAGATATCAGGGCTTTTTTCATAACATATCTGTCGTTTCTTTTGATGATGATCCTTCTTAGAGGCTTCGCAGTTTTTTAAATCTATTTTAATGTCATTTTTCACGGGCATCTTCTAATTTTGAGATCAAGTCAAGTTGTTAGCGAGGGAAAGTTCCATTATCCCTGAAATGTTCCAATATTCCAAATTGCCGGAAATGACATCATACCATTCTACTTCGAAATATGCTCGGTTTGACCGAGGCTGTCCTGGGTTTCAGAACACGTGTTCCACACAAAATGGCTGCCGTGGTTTATCTTAGCCGTCATTTTAAATCATGCATGTTATATTCTCATCTTTGGAAGTCTTTTGTTTTATTTGAAACGAAACATAAATATAACTCAAGCGTATGCAGACAGAGTTTTTACAGTGGACAGAGATGGCATACTCAGCGACAATTATCAACGACAAAAGTCGGTATCTCAGAGTTAGAGAATATTACGTCACCTCGAAGATTTGATTACCCCGACAGAAATCGCAGAATCATGATCGTACTACAGAAGAAGAAAGGTGAGCAAGTGCGTCAGCTTCACGAGGAAGACTTGCTAAACTACTTCTCCATGTACGGAGAAATAAGCAACGTGAAATGGGTACGAAGTAAAGAAGAAGATCAAGATACCGGCAAGGGATTTGGGTTCGTGTCATTCAGCAATGTTCCGTCGTTCCAGGAAGCTGTTGCCTCAAAATATCATACAATAAAGGGCAGGCCCGTGCTTGTGTTCCCAGCAACGAAGAGGGCAGACTCGCAGCCTTCAAAGGTGGCTCCTCAAACAGCAGTGGTACCTGATCAGCAGGCGTCAGCATCCGGCAGGATTGCCTCTGACACAGTTCTTAAACTTGATCGGGTGGGGTCTGAAGGGACATCTGAAAAAACTAGCTCCAAGCCCATGGTAGTGCCTGATTTTACTGAATCAGCATCAATGAAGGTAGCACCAGAGTCAGCTGCCACATTTGATCAAAGGGTATCTGCAGCAGTGCCTCAGAGGACAGCTTCTGAGTCAGGGGTGACCCCCAAAGAAACAAGGTATTCTTCTATTAACATAGCTCAACAGGCAATGCTAGGTCAGGAAGCTTCACAAGAAGGGGCTTTAAGCACAGCTCCTGGACCGGTGAAAGTTTTGCAAGATCCAGAATCTGGAAAAGTGAGACTTACAGGTAAAGCTTCACTGGCAAGTCCTGAAGACCAGAAACGAAAGATTTTAGTGACACAGCGCAAAGGTTGCAAAGGTAAAATGACAGTGAAATCTGTACATGATTATTTTTCAGTATTTGGCAAAATTGAACAAGTTCAAGAAAACAGTGACCTTGTCTATGTCACATTTGAAGGTGCCAATAGTGTTGAACATGTTATGACGATCACAAACCATAGGATTGATGATATGATGGTGCTAGTGTCTTTAGCATATTCCAATAAACAGAGGAAACAGTTGCGGATTGAGAAAGCGCTCGATGATGTTAAAATGAATCAAAATCCTAGAGACATCAAAATTGCTGAACGAGAAGGACGAAAAATAGTGATCATGACTCCTTCCAGGTTCAAAGAATCCATCAGCAAAGAAATGTTGGAGAAGTATTTTTCCTCATATGGAGAAATTGAAGAGATATTTGTTTTGAAATCCAAAGGTTATGGCTTTGTAATATTTAAAGAGGCATGTGATGCCGAAAAGATCTTGAAGATTCGAAACCACAACATTGGAAATGTTGAGATTTATGTAAAATTGTCACTGGCTTCACGACACATTACTCAAAATGAGCCAAAGAGGATCATTGTAACTAACATTTCTGAAGAAACTTCAGAAAGGGAAATCAGGAAACACTTTGGACAATTTGGAAAAGTGGTAGAAGTTGTGTTTGCAAATGCTCCAGATGGTGGAAAAAGGCCAGATTCTTGCATAGTTGTCTTCGATTCCATTGATGGTGGAGTTGAATCTGTTGTTGATGAATCTCATCAGATCCCTACTCAAAAAGATGCACTTGTTGTCAAACTTTCAGAAGACAAAGTGACACTTGTAGCTGAACTGCCAAAACTCTATGTGAGTAATGTTCCTGAGAGTATGACACTAGAAATGGTGCGATCTTACTTTGAAAAGTTTGGATTGATACAGCACCTTGGTTTTACAAGTTACAAGTCTGAGGAAGCAATAACTAACTTGAATGGTATTTCACTGGCATTTTGTGACGAGTCAGTCCTTGAAAAGACTTTGCAGAAAACTTTTCATAAAATAAATAGATTTAAGGTGAAGGTTATTAGAGCGCCCCTGATGTTATCTCCTTCTGACTGCCTTGGTTTAAGAATTCTGCTGACAAGCTTACCATCAGGTACTGATGAACATGTTGTTAAAGACTATCTTCATCAACACTCCTGCAGAGTGAAAACTGTGAAATTAATTTCACCAACAGTTTGTTTTGCTGATTTGTGGAATTTGCGAGACGTGAACAGGCTTGTGGAAGTGGCATCCAAGCAACAGCATGTCATCGGTGGAAGTCCAGTTTCACTTCGTCGCTTCTACTGGGTCAAGAAACAGGAGGAAACACTTTAATTCATCGGCTGAAAAGTGAGAGGGACTGATGGAGACCTAACTTAGAGGTTATTTTTCCCATGTTAGTCAATTAACCCTTTCACTCCCATAAGTGACCAAGACAGAATTTCTCCTTACAATATCAATACAATATCAAGCAGGCAGGTGATGAGAATAGAGAAGAATATCAACTATGGGATTATTAGTTGATCCAATACCAAATTCTCTGAACTAACATCATAAGAATTGTATGGCAGATAGTAAGGAGAATTACCAATTAGATCTTGGTAGTGAAAGGGTCAATCATTAATATGACATTTACAAACTTTTAGCCCTTTAACTCCCAGAAGTGATTAACATAAAACCTCTCCCTACAATATCCATACATTATT